TTACGAATGTTCGTTCGTATATGGTTTACTTAATGGAAACTTGAATCTCAGGATATATCAAGAAACCAGATTGCTGTTATTTTGGACCAGGTAGAACAATGTACTTACATCAATTGATGGAGTTACTCCTTTCTCTTCCAGTCTAATCTTTGCATTCCGAATCAGGCCCAACCTTTCATGTAAATGATTAGGCAATCTTAAGGTTCTTGAATTATCAACTAAAGCTCTTGAGACACCCTGTGTCCCAATAAAAATGAAAAAAACGCATTAGTTTTGCAGTATCTCTCACTCATGACATCATGGCCTTATAACCATTGCAAGAATAACACACATGGATTTCAGGTAGGAGACCACCCCAAATTCATTTTTCTGTTTAGGGTTGCTTTGGGCAAAAACAGAAGTGCCATGAATGCAAAACTTGATAAGAAGAGGTGTTATCAAATAAAGTTTACTAGAATGTCATGGTGCAAAAGACTTGTGTGGTTATCTGTTGTAGGGTACGCTTACAACTGCTGGTGGTAATATCTGCTGTTCCAGTTTATGAAGTTGTTTACAATCTGAAGGGAAAAATTAGCCTTACCTGACGTATCCACCAATAAACATAAGTTGAGATTTTGAACCCTTTGGAAGAATCAAATTTCTCGATTCCTCGCAGTAGTCCAATCAAACCTCCCTGCATGAGAAACATTGCATATCACAAATCTATCCTTCGATTCGTGGATATCAGCCTTTAATACTTGAAATGATGCGAAGAAAGTAACCTGAACAAGGTCAGCCATTTCAGCACCCATGTTATCATATTTTTGAGCAATAGACATAACTAGACGAACATTGCTCATTGCTAGTTTCTCTCTTGCCAGAGAACATTGAATCAATTTTGCCTGTAAGTCAGCACGAGAAATCCTCAAGGAATCTGCAATTTGTTCATCTGAGGGCTCACAACCTAATCTCTCCTTTAGCCTGAAATTCCCAAATTCGAATAGATAGATTATACAGCAATCCAATGAAACAAATGAAACATATGGATTACATGCTTTAAAAAGTTGTTGAGTGTTTAGCACATTAAAGAAATTAAATCATGATTTCTCTTCACATAAAACTGTCCCAAGTTTTCAGAACATGAAGCAAGGTGGAAGTGATAAGAAAAGAAAAACTTCTTGCTATCCACACCGTAGCCCTCAATTATATCTGCCCTTGTCACTTTCAAAATCTTACTCGAAAAAAATGCAGTGGAGATACTTATCATAGAATCAGCAAGATGCGCAAACAAACAACTACACTGAACTGCAAGACTTCTCTTATCATTATTATTGTATTCTAACCTGGACTTGTGGTCCTCAAAGGAAAGACCAGCTCTAATTATCCTTGACAAGCGCACAACTTCTGTATGGGGGAGCACCTCATCACTCACTACACCCTTCACATAACCTTTCAAACGATTCTGCAGCAGATCTGGACTAATAACTGATCTTAGAAACTTAAAATCACTACTTTGTGACATAAATTTACTTTGGTTCTGATTTTTTCTCCTGTTATTCACCCTTCGTTGTCTAGCAGACACCCCAGAACAAGTGACAGGTATCTTCTTGTTATTTTTTTTACTTGTTGAGTCACTTGAGTTTGTCCTCTCAAAAGAAAGATTCCATTGCTTTTCTAGCATAGACTTCTGTAGCAAAAGGAGAGCTTCTACCGAATAGTCGAGAGCAGAGCTCTCTTCTTCAAAGTCATCAAATGTCTTGAACCATGTTGCCACGTTTGAAGAAGCAGAAGCAGTATCCACATGTTCTTTAAGGGCTTTAATGGAATGTGAATTTCGATTGGATGAAGGGAAGTTGGGACCATAGTTCGAAGACTTTTTTGCAACTACTACATTCTTTGTTGTAGCGGTTGGACAGTAGGTAATCCCATGATCATTGACACTGGAAAGCTTTTCTGTGAGGTCTGAATAGTAAAAGGAGGAACTCAAGAGCCTCTTTCCTGTGCTAAGTCCAATAACTGCAGCTGTGGCCATCATATGGATAGTTTTCAGAATTGTGCAATAATCATCACAAGCTTTCAGCAAATTAATGATATCAAGTCTGCTGCCTTCAAGCGCACTCAATTCACTAGGCTAGGTGCATGTAGATGTTCTATAGGATAAATCGCCCTAGGCTCAATTTGGTAGCCTTCTGGAATTAAAATCAAGGCAAACTGGAAAAAACAGAAAACAAACATTAGGCTCCTCAATATGTTAAGAACATTAAATATATGTTTGGCAGGATGTCACACAAAGTAATCGAGAGATAATAATGACCCTCACTGCATCATGCTACATGACAGTTTTTACCAAATTTGTCTAAGTTCATCATATTCAAAGCTAACCAAAACAAACAAATAAATAAAGAAGTTCCAGCTCAAGCAGACCCGGGGAAACCAAAAAAAGAAAAAGAAAAGGTGTATTGAGACTTCTATACAACATATATATACTGCACAAGAGTATCAGGTCACATCCATGAATATGCATAGGATTAGCATCTTGCAACCAAGTGAATACAGCTAGGGAGTTCAACTTCGAATTTCTGAAAATATCAATCTACAATCAATCCTATAGGAAATGAAAAAACAGATGGGTTAAGAACATAGATCCCTAACTACAAAACCGAATATGAGTGTATTTAAGTCCTAAAACCGTAGTTTAGTCTTCTTTACCACATGAAAAACAGTCGAGCTATTGCCAAGCCTGAAACAGTTACATGTTATAGCATCAAGTGTCATTTCAAACCATGAATGGGGGGTGGGGCAGATACGATGCCTCTTACATTAACTTAGACCAACACTCCACGTGTTATAGCAGAAGCTAGCCCCATCTTATTTGCGGAGTGAATGATCACTGAAGGTGTAAACCATTGGAGTTATTTTTCATGTTCATTATATTTTCCGATCCTGAGTTATGCGAGTTCTACTCTGTATATAGTGTCTGTGTTGAAGATTTGGCCAGAAGAACAAGAACATGAACGATGAGTGAAAAGAATGAAACAAGGAAACAATCTCAAACGGATTTCAGTTGAAAGAAAAACATGAGCAAATTAAGAGAGTTCAGAATTTGGTGATAATAGAGAATGGAAAGAAACGCCGTGGAGCATACCTGAAGTGGTTAGGAAAGCAAAAGGTGATGGAGAACAGGTAAGGATTCCGAAGTTAGCAATGAACAGGAGCTACCTTACTACTCCTACTTTGAATGTATGACATGTTTGTTCACGTTCCTCTTACAAATTTATCTGGTTGTGATAATCTTACCACTGCTACTATTTCAGCAGGGAAAATGGAGGGTTTAGGGTGTCAGGGTAGGAGATATGGGAAGGAGGGTTGCCATTGGCTACGGCAGATATTGGGTCCCATGTTCGAGTGGTGTACAGACCGCCAGTTTTCTCGACATAATAATAATATAATTGCATGTTCGAGGAATGGGATTTCACACTTGGCAGCCACACAGCACCTAATAAAATAAAATATGACCACAAGAACAATCGACGGTTGTGGGCCAAGGCCCATTAAGCCCATTCTTTACCCCCTCTTATCACGTTGTTACGATTTTTTTTTTTAATTTTTTAATTTTTTTTCTGGAATGGTCTGAATTGAGGATTTTTTTTATTCTACTTTTTGGTTTCTAGCCATGTCCAAGAGATATCATTTTTTTTCTTCAAAAAATCAAAAGACACGTACAGGATTCTAAAAAGGTTGGAATGTTACTTGTACAAACAAATAGTTTTTTGCAAGCCAATTCATACGTGATTTATATTCAATTGATAATTTTTATATTTGAAATAAAATATTTAAGTTATAGAATTAAATTCAACTATACTTCTTAAAATAAATATAGAAATAAATTGAATTAATAAACTTAATTATTTTACCGCTAAACCATTTATTTTTGCCTTCTCAACAAGAATAGTTTTTGAAAAAGTTAAAAAAGTACTAGGATAGTTGAGTAAAAAAAAATATGATTTTTTTTTATGGAGTAGTAGGATTAACTTACCATATACATAAGATAAAAAGATTTCAAAATTAATTTAATGACAAGTTAAAACATATAGCTAACTAGATTCCCTGTCATTTCTCTCTTCTCTTTTTTCCCCTTTGTTGTGTTTCATCTACATATTTTACCGTAAAGATTACCTTACCTGCAAGATGAGTCATCGAGAGGCATGTTGAGGTTGAAATCAGATATCTGTTGCTCGCAACCACACATTTTAGAGAGAGATGGATTCCCTCTTGCGTGCCATCAAAATTTCTGCTTGCAGTGGAATATCAATGTGGATGGAGACGTTTTAGAAAGAAACGAGAGTTAGAAAAGGAGAAGGAATGAGACACGTTGAAAACAATGAAGAAGAAGAAGAGAGAGATCTGTTGTGTTATTAAAGTATTTTTGAAATATCATTTTTAACATCAATATCATAAAATAAAATCTCCCCTCTTAATTTGTTTTCGGCCATTTTTCAACAATCAAATTCAATTTAAAATTCAAATTAACACCCTCCTCCAACTCCAACTAGCGAGTCAAACTGGCAAATCAAAGAAGCACATGCACGCCTTGATCATTTACAGAACAGCACATCCAACCCTAAAAAGTAAAATGTACCGGTCAAATGGTTAAATTTTAAATTTGTTTTATAAAAATTATTAGCTCAAATATCATAAGTTAATATATTAAAACTTTTCCAGTTATTAACCCTAAAATTTTAAAAAATTAATCAAGATATATAAACTAGTACAAATATCCACGATTAAATAAAAAAAAAAAACCAGCAATGCCCCAGAAACATAGATCACCCGTGCGGAGCTAATGTCAGAAAGAGTATTACATCACAATCACTAGAGATCAAGATAATAGGTTACAGTCAATTTACTCTCCGTGCCACTACAAGCCCAATAAGAAACTTGTACTTGCTATTTTTTTTTAAAAAAAAAAAAAAATACATTCTCTTTGGGATAGAAAGTGAATTCCTAGAAATTACATCGAGTTTTGGTCAAGTAAAACAAAGCCTGAGCATCATCTTATATTAAAAATCCAATATACACCAACAATGGCAAACTGTTTACCGCCAGTGAGCTGGAAATCATAAAATACAATAAATAAATAAAAAGGTGGGATAAGAAAAAAAATGACAAACCACCAACTTCATATTACAGCCTACAACAATTCAAGTAAATGAAACTCAATTTACAATTGGAACAAGAAAATTAAAGAGGCAACTATGTGACCTATGCAATACTCCAGTCACACACTTGACGTCAGACTCCCAGCTGAATTCTGCCTAGAAGCTGAAGTTGAACTTCAATGATAAGTTTAATCCTTCACATGCATAAAATGCAATCACAAGTAAAACACGTAAGTTTGAAAGCCTGAGATAGGGGGCGTGTATCATGGCCACGGAATTGTTGGAACCAAGAAAAATAAAGATTGCATGTCTAATGATCAGAGTAGAAAAAACCACAATCATCAATCATATTTTATGCAAGCACAATGAATGAGCATGTCTCGGATGAGGGTTTTCAAAGCAACAGCCCACTAAGCATGTGACCTATTGCACACAACTTTCTTCCAGCACTCCATGACAAAACCATCGCAGGGAGATTTTAGATGATACAGAACTAGGCAATCCTTCCAAGATCTTTTCTTCCTCGGGATGGCGATGGAATGCTATTGAAATTGACCCTACGCCCTACAAAAGATTTCCAATAACAGTTAACACATTTAAATTAATGCAGCTCTAGCAAAGAGGTAAGCAAAACAGTCAGGAAGTACCCCATGGCATGCTGTTGCTCAATGAACTGCTTCCTGGAGAACGTTGCCCCCCTGAACTGAAGCTGGAAGAGGGGGGCTGGACCATAATAGGATTCCATTCACTACCCCGAACAGCAAGCCTTCCATGACTGAACAGCTGTCCTAAACGGCTTGGAGAATTTTGTGAGACATGAGGTGTAAAATAAGAAGGCTTTGAAATTGAACGGCCATATCCAGCATGAAAATCATGAGCTGAAGTAGGGCTGCCCATGTCAACATGTGAAAATGCATGAATAGGCCCATTTTGTCTGGCATAATCATAATACAACCACAAAAGAATCAAGAATAAGAAAATATTTAAAATTAAAAAATAATACCCACTAATCCCTCCTTGAAAAACTAAAAGAAAAAATGAAAAATAAAAGACAGAAAACATGAAGCAACAATTTCAACATTCCCATAATCTATGTTAATCAATGAAGTTTCACAGAAACACTCGGTCAATTGACAGTTTTGATATTTGAATTGGTTCACCTGAATCGTGAAAGTTCTTGTTGCACATTTATTTGCAACATATTTTATTCATGCTAGGTGCCACCAATTGCACAATAGTTAACTAATCATGACTTGAAGTTGGTAATAAAATTCAGGCAGCCATGTGATTTGGGAGAAAGTTTGTGCTTTTTACCAACACAAATCATACCTTTGGTTCAATGCACTTGAGCTCGCATTTGAAGCATGGTTGGATCTTCCAACACCTACCATTGGATCACCAGAACCAAGATGCATGCTACTGCTAAACTCAGAGCTTAAGAAACTCGTAGCTGAACCATCCTCTTGCAGAAGAAGTTCATCGCTGGAGTATGAATAACAGGTGCCATACTAAAAGATTAAGCAAGCACATGGTATAAAATACAAGTAGATACTATTTTAAATTGCTACCCAATCCATATTTAGAAAAGAGAAGCAGCCAATGAAAGTAAAATTTGCAAAAACAACTACTATCTGACAATTTTTTATGCTTTCTAAATATCTTATTACTTGACAAAATACAAAATAACCCTCAACTTTTCATATGTAAATTTTATATCAGCATATTGTAATTTAGACATGTTTTATTTCTTCATCTTTTTTTTTATAATGTTTAGTCTTTAACAGCACATTTTACCCAAAATCTTTTTTGCAACAATTACAGTGATAGACACAACAAAAGCCAAGTGTACTGTCAAAACAAATTGTAAGCAAGGTATTTATTGAAACGTCAACAACTGATTATGAAAACAAATAATAAGTCAATATGCTTTCAGCTTCATACCATTCAAACCTCAAATTAAGCAAAATATAATCACATAATGAAGGAAAAGACAGCTAAAAAAATCAGCACTGGCTTACTCTTAAACGAGTCTAATTCTGAAATGTGGATGAGAATAAGCCTATCAGAAGAGGATGAAGTCAAATATGTGACCTAATCCAAACACAGACAATCAGACACCAATAGCCAAAAAAAAAAAAAAGAATAACCGAGGCGGTTTGCTGCATGGGGCTAATAAAAATTCCAAGGGCGAACTGCTACTATTAGCTATCTAAGGTTAACAGCTTAAGTAAACCCCAAGGTTCCATTTAATGAGAAGACTTCTAGCTAACAGTAATTATGTTAAAAGAAAAGGAAAGGGAGAACCACAAATTTTGTTTTCATCTCAGCTTATGTAGTGTGACTATCTCATAAAACCAACAGCAGAAATCATAGTCACATCTTGCTTCACATGATACTGATTGAACTTTTAAAACATGTCAACACATACAAGTTCTTATTTATCATTTTAACTCAATAAACTCTCTTTTCAAAAAGAAAAAAGAAAAAATCATAATCATTGGATGGATCAGCTACTTTTTTTTATGCTAAGTTCGATAGAGTCATCAAAATCTGTTCCTTCAAAAGTTAAATTTGTTTGCAAATATATGTGAAGGAAAAATGCAAGGTATCAATGTAATCTAAAAGAAAATATGATATAAATTAACAATATAAAGAATTGTCATTTGTTACCTGTAATTAGGATCCCAATCCCCTGGATCTGGCAATGAAAGGTTAGTCTCGGGCTTATCATGAATAGGCCCTGCACTTTGAGGGCATTTCATATTAGCAACAGGCTTAAACGGGCCTGGAATGCTCTGAATGGCTGAGGGACATGCTGTACTTCCACTGCCTCCTTGTTGCTGCATCCAGCTTGACTGCCAATGTGCGGGTGAACTACCAGGTACTGGAGGATTTCCCTCAGCTTGGTTAGAGCAAGCACCATCAGATGATTGTCCTTGCCAATTTGACAAAGATGTACACTCCTGAGATTGAGAACTTCCAGAATACCCCCAACGTTTTCTTCTATTGAATTGTGTGACTGCAGCCATTTTTCCTAAAGGTGATCCATGACTGCAGCTTCTTGCAGGGGAAGTTGGACCATAATGTCCAGGAGAACCAGCTGAAGCTTGACTGTAGGAGCTTGGTGGAGTAAACTGTGAAGGACTGGTTCCAAGGGGAAGTGGTGCAAAATTTCCTGCAGATGGACTCATACCAAGACCATTTCCATGTGAATATTGCATAAACCTCCATCTTGCATCTGGACTATTTCCAAGCATTGACAGACCAGCCTGTGGATGCATGTTCATGCCAGATGGAGCAACTGGTGAATAATATGCAAACATATTACTGCTATCTCCATAGCTTCCATAGCTGCTTCCAAGGCCAATACCATCATTATAGCTACCATGGCTTCCAACACTACCATAACTAGCACCATGACCATATGGAACTGCCTGGAAATGAGGGCTATTATGCAAGGAAACTCTGGTCCTTCCAGGATTCTTCATAAAAAATACCAAAATTGATGGTCATAATTTTTTCCAATTCTCTTCCTACTACCCATTTTTTCCGGAGGTAAGGTATCCTCTTTCTTTCTTTCTTTCTTTCTTTTTTAATGTTATCTTGAAGGAGTTGTGGAGGAATGTGTTCAACCGTTACTAGTTTAAAAATAAGGGAAAATCCAAAAAGGAAAATGAGCTTACATTAGGAGAGAGACCAGCAGCAAACCAATGCCCTCCACCTGGGTGATGGTCTACCTTAATATTTTGGGCAACAGGCTACAACAACAGAGAGATACAAGTATAATTTAAAACGAAAAACACTCATTAAATGTGCCTCAACTCCAAAAGAACATATTGGTCCGACATATCATGCTTTAATTACATATGTTCAATCTAAGGCAATATGGACACACATGCGGGCAATAAAATACACATTTTTATGCAGTAATATTTCTTCTTCCTGCTGTGTAAAGTAATTTCCAGGCTCATTACATGAGATGTTTGTGAACAGGAACCAACTACTTAAAACAGGGAGATAGTTCTCTTGAACTTCATAATTATTTATAAAACAGAAACACAAAAGAGCTATAAGTAAAAGTATGTTCCAATTATAGGAACTGGATGGGGTAAAACCAGGCAATAAATGGACACTGTAAATTAGTTATACAACTAATCCAGAAGAATGATAAGCTGAAATCGAATATAGATTTTGAAAACTCCTTCGCACGGCCATCCCTGTATTAGAAGATAATCTTTTTAAGGAAGATCACAATCAAGCAGTATGACCCCGGATTAAAGCTTGGCATGCCAATTTAATAAGCTCATACTTACTATACGAGGGGTCTCTGGAGGAGGCTTGAATGGGCACATGAAAGGTTCCCCAGTTACAAAAGGGTGTTTTGATGCCTGCACATAAATGAGTAGTAAATCCATTATCTAAAAGTAAAAATTTATAAGTAATTTTTGACAGAAATTGCTCAAAACTAGGAAAAAGTCAAATTACCTGAAAAGGGGACCATCGTTTTGCAGGATCGAACTCAACAAGTCCCCTCAAGAAATCAATCAAAGCTAATCGAATTTGACTTTCTATCATGAGGTAAACAACAACAATCAGCAGCTTCTAGAAATGATAGCAACATATTTTCCGAATTTGTTATAACTAGATTTTTGGGATATAAGAATAACCTTTCTTAATATCTTCCTCAGTCAAATTCTTTCTGTAAGGATAGTTTGTAACAATTGCCTCAAGGTTCATATGATGGAAATACTCCTTCCCAATCGATGGTTTTTTCAGCTCTATCTGGAAAGAACAATGAAATCTTCATAATGAGGAAGATAATAAAATGCAGGGAGCAATAGAGAAGAAAAAAACCCTTGTCCATTGATATTTGATATTAGAACTTCGGGAAAGAATTAAATAGAATCCTGTTCACTTATGAAGCTCTTTACTTTTTCTTCTATTAATTGATTTTCCAACTCCAAATATACAAAAGAACACTTACAGATTCATATTCTTCCACTTTTAATGCTTGGTATGCACTTCTTCCTCCTAAGGAAACTTCGCCATTCTCTAAATTATGAACACTCCCAATGCACTTGAAGAATTTTCTTGCATTCTTTGCCGCTTTTAGAACATAATCAGGGGGTTGTCCTCTACAACATACATCATTTCAACCAGCAATAAGCTATTCTTCAAAACAATAGTGAAAACAATTAATAAACAACAAATTGAAGCATAAAATACCACCCTACTAGATCCAGTGCTCTTCCAAGCATTAACAAATCACACACAAAATAGATCAATTCCCAATCACATAGGAAGCAAACCTCCTCACCCCATCCCACCCCACCCCACCCCCAATGCATGCTTTTGAACTTTCATGAATTAGTTTAAGATGAATCATAACTTTGAAAAGCAAGTACAAAACATAGATGTGGAAGTACGCTTTTTCGAAATAATGTACCCACGCACATGTCAATTTTGACTGAGTTGATAAAAATGGACCTATAGTAATTGCATGAGCCCACTAGTTAACTTGCTCAGGGGTTGTTTATCATACTTACAGATATGACTATATGTTAAACTCTCATAAAGGTCAGTTTAATCAAATTGCAAATCATAAATTCAACTCTGATAAATGAATTCAAGGAGCTCTCAAAGGACACATGAAAGGGTTCCACTAAAAACTTTAAAACAATAACTAATAGCAGAAGCAGCCAAATTAAAAAATAAAAAGGGCTTAGCAAACCAATATATCAGCCATCCAAGGCACATGGCACTGGAACAAACAGGTAAGCTGGCTCAAGAATGAAAAAAATGTCCAAAACAAGCCTTAAATAACTGATATCCTTTTTTTTTTCGTTCTCTTTTTTTTTTTTTTTTTGGAAGGATTCTTAGAATGCAGATTGAACTACAATAACAAAAAAGATAGCTAGGATGTATTTTTTAGAGGCACTGCTTCTGAGTGGAGGAGGCGGCTCACATGAGGGCCAGTGTCTTCACAAGGAATGGATGTAAATTGTTCAAGGTTTCTTAGACCCTCTTATAAGCTGAATCATTGAGAAATTCATGGAATTTCAAGTTTCATTTTTATGATCCTAGTGGAAGTACATAGAGATGCAGATATTCAGGCCCCCCAAATCCTCTATGCTGTATAGTTGAAATTTTATTTGGGTTTTTCTACGAGTTCCATTCTATTTTTGCCTTGTGGTAGTAAATCTATTCTGCCTGTGCCACTGAAGAGCTAGCTAATTATATTTTGAAAGTTACTGCACTGACTTCTTGCACTAAGCCTTAAAATTAATTCAACTGATCATGTCCAACAAATATACCATTATATGCCATTCTGAAACAATATTGTCTATAGAGATTGGTCCAGCAAAGCATTTCACATGCTGATAACAACCACAAAACCAAAAGATTGGTGCACACACAGGAAAGAGTACAACTCGTACCTACTAAAAACATAAGATGAAAAAAGGTTGATAACAACCCACATATGGTCCCACTAAAAAGGAGTTGAGAGTTTGATCAAACTTAGGTCGGCCAATTATTCATCCCACAAGGAGATCCTTAAGATAGCCCGAAGCCTACCCTTCAATTTGCATGAAGTGGCTGTTATCAAGAGCCAAACATGCACCCTTCTGGTTGTAAGGGTACCATTGCAACAATCAAAGGTCCCTTACAGCATGAAGAAATATGATTTAACCAATTTCCACGAAGTGGCTGTTATCAAGAGCCAAACATGCACCCTTCTGGTTGTAAGGGTACAATTGCACCAATCAAAGGTCCCTTACAGCATGAAGAAATATGATTTATTTTATTTGTTATTATGCACGTATACTGTTATTTCTCCAGTGGACCTATCATAATCTTGTTATTGTTATAGTTTAATGGCTGTTTTGTATCTTAAGAAAACACAAACAAAACAGAAAGGACATCAAATCCATATTCTTAAACAGCATGCTTGATAAACTTGCAAATATATTTCAGGTCCAATTGCTGATAGAGACCAGACTTACCCGAGTATTTCAATCATTCTCCTCAAGAGATCAAATTCTGAAGCACCAGGAAAAAGTGGCAATCCTAGAAACAGTTCTGCAACTATGCACCCGAAGGACCACATGTCAATAGCTGTAGAATATCTAGAATGCATTAAGGTCCCAGCAAAAACCCCATGATTCTAGGATGAAGCATGAGCATATGCAAATGATAAAATATAATAAAAAAATTCATGAAGCTATAATTTCTCAAAAAGGATACTGATAACCTAGAAGAACTTCAGGAGATCTATAGTAACGGCTCTGCGGACCAAACAGAAATGCCATCATAAGTACTTTACAAGTTGATAGAAAAAAAATGAAAACATGGACTAGACATAAAGATAACCTGAATGTAGGAGTAAACAGTGCGATCTTCCATGCATGCTGATCCAAAGTCAATTATTTTAATCCCTGTTGGTTTCACCCTGTTTCTCAAGATAGAAAAAACTTCATTTGAATAGAAACAAAACTTGATACAGGTTTGAAACAAAACAAATTGTGAATAATAATTTACCTTGTGCACAGAAGAATGTTTTCTGGCTTCAGATCACAATGGATTATCCCAGCATCTTTTAATAGAGCCAATCCACATAAAATCTTTTTATAAACACATTAAGCAAGAAATAAGAACAAAATAAACTCAGATATAATGCAACATGACAACAATTTTAAAGTTCTCATACCTGCTTAGAGAACAATTGGACAATGCTCAATGATAACCCCCTAAATTGATTTATCTTGATAAGCTCATACCTGAAAACTTTAAAAGTCAAGTATATGCTGCTAAAAAGAAATAAAACAATAAATTCACATGACCAAGGATTCACAGAAAGGTAGGTCAGAGAAAAAGCAATTTTTCCAACAAATGATACTGCACACTAAATGTAAGTAGCCATTAACTTACAGATTTGTGTCAAGAAGTTCAAAACAGATGCATAAGTGCCGCTGGTATACAAAGTAATCATAAATACGAACAATGTGATGCTTATCATCAGGATCATACTTCTTGTTTAACTGGGATAGGAAACCGTTGTGTAAACAGAGAAATGTCAATACTGATATCACAGCAAGGGTGTGCCACAAAGAGTTGAAGAGCTTTTTAATTACCGTTGTCAAGATAGATACTTCAACCAGAGCTTGCTGATAGTAAGCTGGTTGATTTTTTATTATCTTCAGAGCAACAAAACTGTTAGTTTCTGCAACCCAGCATTTAGCAACCTGCCCAAAGGTCCCATGACCAAGAACATCTTTGACTATGTATCTGCAGATATGATGTGATAAACGAGTCATGGATATCATATTTACTATCATGCAATCAAAATTTGTGGGCTATTGTTCTTGTCACCTACTGAATGGAACTTCAAAAGAAGGAAAGAAAACACACAGTGAAAGTAAATATTCTATCATATTTCAAAGACTGGAGTATTTCATTCATATTGGAAGAAGATAAACCTAAGGATTTAATGAATGTGTTAAATTTGGTGCTTTCTTTGGATTGTCTAGAATCCATTTAGATTTCAGAATTTCCATCAAACTGCATCTTTCTTTCCTTTGTTCTTTCTTTTCTGAATTGGATTTTGCTAACTCAAACTTGTTATTTTGTGGGTGTCAATCTAACATGAAATGCACAAGGTTCACAATGATTCAGAGAAGTAATGTTGTAGTGGGAGAAAAAAACTGAAAATATAACAGTCCAATGTACCTCAGATATTCTGTCCTCTGAAAGGTCTCTCGATCAGAATAATTTAATTCAACTGCCAGGATTTTTATTATTAGGATTCTGATTCCTCTAGCTGGTATAAAAGAAAAGAAAATTCTTCTTTTTTTTTGGTGAAACTTCAAAGAAAAAACAGTTTCGTTGTACACAAATATGGATGCACAAAATCACCTAAAATTTTGAAAAAATAATAATCAGAGCATTCACAGAGAGGGGAGGGCGCTAAATACATGAACACATTGTACTCTTTGAATCTAATAATTGCAGAGAATGATTCATTGGAACAACTAGCTGGAATTGAAACTAGAATTTGTTTAATCAGGATCCCAACTCAGTGGAAATGGAATAAAAGCTGTTTATTTTTACAAAGATATCGAACAGAGGAGTATTTAGCAAAAGACGTGTGTTAGTCAAGGATTCAAGGCAATAAGGGACTTTGTGAGCATTATTTTTTACCAAACACCAATTCACTCAAAACATAATGCATAGCTTTTTCTGTTCAAAATCAAGTACAAAAAAGAAAAATGAGTTCCAGAAAAATAAATGCAGATGAATAAAAACAACAGACATAATCAAACCTTCTCTGTGTGTCTAAATTGATCAAAGCAAAGTTCACAGTCAGAATAAGATCCGAGTTCACATTATCACGGCCATCATTGAGGACTCCAGCTGATGGGCTGGTCAAATATCGTTTTGGATTTAATTCTTCTGAATATTTGAATTGTGGATTGCATGTTTGATACGTTTTGACTATGTCTTTGGTTAGTCTGGCAACCAACTGCACCAGTAAAAGCTTACAGTCAGCACAAAGATGCCTCAAATAATGTCCAAGTACCCTTCTCAAAATAAAATTTAGTTAATAAAATAATGATGATGCTCACTTAGCCATGCTAGAAAATAAAATGGCAGTTCAAAGAGAATCTTGAAAGAAGATCATTAGTAAAAAGGTGAGAGATAAGACAGCAGCAGCATCATAACATGCATCCATATAGCCAATGTTAACCGAAAATAATGTCCTTAACCAGATCACACAGGCACTTCAGATGCTAATATGATGTCTGACTAATATCAGACAAGTTCATGAGATCCCAAATACACTATTATATGTTATCCTTCCAAGGGCAGTAAATTTGGAGGCTTACTCTTAAAGTTCTCTGGTTTAATTTGGCACTGTACCCTTTAGTAGCCATCCATACAATTTAGTTACATATTTTAAGTGTCACACATGGAAAAGGATAAACCAGTTCTTATTAATAGTGCTCTTTCTTCAATTATATCGTTGTTCCCTTGCTCTATTGTGCATAGACCTCATGAGATCCAAAAAGAAGGTTCTTATAAAGACAAATAGGGATTTGATCATGAACTTCTAATAGTGGATTGTGGCAAACACCCTTTCATAGTAAGCAGTTCAGGATTTATTGTTTTTTGTGCTTTATTATTATAATTATTATTTTCATTTTTATGAAACCAGCATTTTAGGGATTAAATAAGGAGTTCAACAAAAGTCCTGCTAGATAAACAGTTGTGAGTTCATTGTGAAGAAAATAGTATCCACAAAGATAATTGATGTCAGCTCCTCTTAACTTTTGAGACCGAAATCCTTACAATTTTCAAGCTTCTAGGGTAGGTAGGCACTGTGCCCTTTAGTAGCCATCCATACAATATAGTTACATATTTTAAGTGTCACACATGGAAAAGGATAAACCAGTTCTTATTAATAGTGCTCTTTCTTCAATTATATCGTTGTTCCCTTGCTCTATTGTGCATAGACCTCATGAGATCCAAAAAGAAGGTTCTTATAAAGACAAATAGGGATTTGATCATGAACTTCTAATAGTGGATTGTGGCAAACACCCTTTCATAGTAAGCAGTTCAGGATTTATTGTTTTTTGTGCTTTATTATTATAATTATTATTTTCATTTTTATGAAACCAGCATTTTAGGGATTAAATAAGGAGTTCAACAAAAGTCCTGCTAGATAAACAGTTGTGAGTTCATTGTGAAGAAAATTGTATCCACAAAGATAATTGATGTCAGCTCCTCTTAACTTTTGAGACCGAAATCCTTACAATTTTCAAGCTTCTAGGGTAGGTAGGCACTGTGCCCTTTAGTAGCCATCCATACAATATAGTTACATATTTTAAGTGTCACACATGGAAAAGGATAAACCAGTTCTTATTAATAGTGCTCTTTCTTCAATTATATCGTTGTTCCCTTGCTCTATTGTGCATAGACCTCATGAGATCCAAAAAGAAGGTTCTTATAAAGACAAATAGGGATTTGATCATGAACTTCTAATAGTGGATTGTGGCAAACACCCTTTCATAGTAAGCAGTTCAGGATTTATTGTTTTTTGTGCTTTATTATTATAATTATTATTTTCATTTTTATGAAACCAGCATTTTAGGGATTAAATAAGGAGTTCAACAAAAGTCCTGCTAGATAAACAGTTGTGAGTTCATTGTGAAGAAAATAGTATCCACAAAGATAATTGATGTCAGCTCCTCTTAACTTTTGAGACCGAAATCCTTACAATTTTCAAGCTTCTAGGGTAGGTACTCCAACTTCAAGGAGAGTGTTATGAAACAAGGGTTTTAATAGGATTAAGTGGGCAGTTTAGCTTCTTTTTTTTCCTTTTTATGAAACCAGCAGTTTAGGAATTAAATCAGGATTTTAACAAATTACTGCTACGTAAATAGTTGAAGTTCATTGTGAAGTGAAATAGGATCAGCAATGATAATTGGTGTTGGATATAAAGAGGATCACAGGTGTGGATAACTATGGAAACTAAGGAATTTGCATGCAACCAGTATTTGGAAGATTATAAGAACTTAGATATATGTTAGGAGTTCTTCTCATGGTTTTGATGCAGAAAAGAACTATATTGTATTTTTTTGCTGGAGGATCAGTTCCTCTGAACTCTTGAGACCAAAATCTCCAAATTTTCAAGTTTCTTCGAAGTCAAGATTGTTCGGACACTCATACCTAAAATAAACATGTTATGAAACATGGCTATTGATAAGAAATCAAAATGATGGCCCTATTTTTATCTTTGTTTTGTGATAGTAAAGCTCTATCAACGTTGTGTATAATTCAATTCATTTCAATAGAACAGAACATTTTGAAATTGATATGCCTTTTGATCAAGGAAAATCTAGATAAGGGTACAATATGTGACAGAACAATTATCAGAGGAGTTTATGGAGCAGATTGACAAGGCCAAGCCTGAAAAGAAGTCCGCAAAAAAACCCGAAAGCATCTTATATAAGGCCTGAAGTTAAAATTTTCTTGTTTTAATTATTTTTCAAGTTAATTTTGGATTTTAATTATTTGTTTCCTACTTAGTTTAGGACTTTTAATTTAATTAATATTTTACTATTTAGAAATCCTAATGCTCAATGGATTCTATTAGTTATGAAAGTTTTAATTGGAATCCTTTCCTATAAATGATTTTAGTACAAATACAAATAAGGATATCTAGTTTTTTTTATGAAGAAAAAAAGATTATTATTCAAATTCAAAAAAAAAAAAAACAGAGGATTTTCTCTAGATTTCTCTACAATTTGGTCTATAACCTTAGAGCTTGAGAATCCTAGTTTTATCTTCGTTGTAAGTTGCGTCAATATGTGTTCCACTTATAGAGTAAAAAATAAAACAGCCAATATCTTTACCAATCAGGTGTAATACTAAAAGCCTTTGTTCTATATATTGCTTGCAAGATAGGCGTCAGAGATGTCATATCCCATTTTTAAATCCTATTTTAAATCAACTTCTTAAAATTCCAAAATCCCAAAAATATGCAATATTCACACAATTTCTAGTTTCCAAGGTTTAATTCATTGTAGTAAATAAAATAAAAATGAGTGTGAGAATAATAGCAAAAAAGAAAATGAAAAAAAAAAAACTGCAAGAGAAGAAAGAAGAACATAAAAAAATGAGGTCAAAAACAAAAGACAGAAAGAAAAGCTCACCACCAAAATCTAGTGCATAATACCCTTATCCAAACACTATTCCCTACTATCATTGCATCCAAACAATTAACTAAACATAAGGAGCAACTAAACACACTCAAACTGATAAGACTAAAGGTTCCCCCAAAGCCCTTAAGCATCACTATATAAGCAATCTATTCCAATACCTGCCTTGCAAGCAATCTACAAAATGAAAGCTTTTACCACTACGTCCCTTGGTAAATATGTTAGCTATTTTGCTTTTTAACTTTACAGAGGGAATACCTATGTACTCTCATTTAGTTTTTCCTAGATAAAATGCTTTTCAGTTTCAATGTTGATAGATTGGATAGTGAGAGAGTTGAACTCTGAATTTGGGAATGATAATGCCGCTAATCAATAACCTAATGAAAAAAATAGTGTTCCCAATTAAATCTCTTATCAAGGCTCTATGAAAGCATAGGTGTAAAGTGGAAGGGACTCCAAGAGGGAGCTACACCCTCCTAGCTTTCTTCTTTTGTATAGGGAGGCAGCTTGGGGTATGATTTTAACTATGGATAATCTTCAAATGACAGAGGTTTCAGTTAATTTTTTTGTTCAAAACAGTTGCCGAATCTAATCAATCATTTACTAGCGTGGAAAAGGAGTTCATAACATTAATGAAGTTGTGGATTTGTCTTGGTCATAATTAGTGCAGGACAAGGAGTTAAAATTTTGGGAGAGGTTTACACTATTATTTGAGACTATAAAGCACTGGGAATCTTTAGTGTTTTCCATATGTAATGAAAGAACAGAGCATTCAAGGTAGAAGAATCTTGCTCCTCCCAGTGGATGCTCTTTTCTTTTCTTTTTGACTTTTTGCGTTAAGACTACATCACTGGCCTACAGGGAGTCTCATTTCTTAGATTTCATTTAATAATTTATCAGTAGCACAGTAATAGCTTGTATTCCCATCCTTTTCTAATAACCAAATGGTGGTAACTCTACCCTTCTGGTGTCTACATTCACGGATTTTTTATTTTTTATTTTTTACTTTTAAGAGAGCAAGATGACTCGTATACACATCTGAAAAGGACTAATTCTCTATAATTAGACATCTAGCTGAAAAGGCACAATAAACAATGTCCATCAAAGAGCAATTAGTACACCACCAGGTGTTCAGTACAGTTTCCTGCCATCACATATTTTTCAGAATTAAAATTTTGCAATCCACTCATACTTTTAGGCTAAACACAGAAAAAAACTCTCTAAGAAAAACTTGCAAGTAGTTGATGAGCACAAAGGAAATCATGGGATGACAAACAAAGTCAATGGGAAGATATTGAATTTTCCTAATAAATCCACTTTGTGTATGGCTTTTGCACTAAAGCAATTAGGAGTACAGGATAGTGCTTCTTGACATTTGTAGAAAGTTGTGAGTGGTCAGTTATCATATGTTTTAACCCAAATAAGCCACTTTAAAGGAGCATGCATTGCAATCCTTGTAATAATAAATCAGTATTTTCACCTCTCTTTTATTTAACCTAAATACAACTTAAGATTGACCAGGTAATGAAGCGTGGAAATCTAAGTTGCTCAACATTAGTATCGTAGAAATATTAGCAAGTATGAGACATGTCAACTAGAATCCAAGAATTCCAATATAACAACTCAAAGGCATAACCCTTGGCTCCATCTTTAATCATCATGGTCAATCTTCCGCATTCTTTCTAAAAAAATAAGGGTGGATCAGAGTCTCCCTGTCATCACAAGAGCTAAGAACAGAGAAATATTGACATGATCATACAGTTTTACATGGTTAAAATTAAAAGTGTTGCAAGGGATACTACAATTTGGTAACACTAGCAAATTTCACAAAGGACTGCTTCAACAATAAGTGTCCTAGACAAAGAAAATAGAAAGGATTCCCCTCAAAAGGCAGGATAAGGATCCTCTAAGCTCACATTGTAACTATCAATCCCCAGCATACACTTTCCATCATTAATCCAGAGAGGCTTGCAACTTGCAAGCTTTAGCAGTTTCAGGTCAAGAACATTGTCTTTATCATAACTCTTCTTTGGAGATTATATTATTATGTTATTCTTTGAAATGGAGAATACTAATACGGACATCAGAATAATGTTTTACGTATTTCAGGAATATCACATGATATCAAGACCTCAAAAAGCCTACACCCTTCTGACCATAAGCATTCTAAGGAAGATATTCTTGTAGTTCTACATAGAGCTTTCTTTCTTATTCATTTTTTCCATAAATTAGCAAAACAAGCATCTGCCTTTTAATTAATAATCTCATGGACAACACAAACAGATTCCATGCACAGCTGCCATCACACCTTCACAAGATTCTGTTTTTATTTTATAATTTCAAATGCAAAAACGAAGGCAGTTAGATACATCTCAATTTAATACATGTACACTAATGTACCGAGCTATCACTCACTCTATACAAAACCTAAATTTTTTACTTCCATCAAACCTAAAATGCTCATAATTCAACATGCAAACTAAAACCCACATAAAGCAACAACAAAATGAATCCAATCATCAACACAAACCAGAAAGACAAAAGCAAACGAATAGAAGACTTACAGGACTTCTTACGACAACACGCAAAGTTTGTCCCTTGTTGGCAGGTTCACTCTCCTGCCTGTATTGTCCAAATGCCAGCTGCCTCGGCCGCCATGGAACCGATGGCCCATTCAATTCCTGGGCCTCATTCGGACTGACCCCATCCATTGACTACACAACAATAACTAAAATTCCCAGTAATCAAACTTCTATACCCAATTTCTTCATACCGGAACAAAAAAAAGAACCCAGAATTAGATTGATGATCAGCAATCAAACCATCAAATTTGAGAATCAAATTGAGGTTTGTTTGAGAAGTTCAAGAAACTACCAGCAGATTCTAATCCCATTATCTCTCATTCACTCAAAAGAGAGTCAAGAATCAAAAGATTGCGTCGTTACTTGATCCATTGAAGAGATCAAGAATTCACGAAAAAGATTTCTAGAGACTATTGATATTATCACTATGGATTCTTAAAAAATATGTAGATGAAGACCATGCAAAGATTGAAAAAAGAAAAGAAAAAACAAAGAGAAATAGTGTAGAATACGAAAAGGAGGCAAAAATAAATATGAAGAAGATAAGTTAGTGTTTTATATATTTTTTTTAATTATGTAATAATAAGAACTAAAAAGATCAATGGATGAATGGAGGCAGGATTGGGCTGATAGACAGAGTATACATAGAGAGACAGAGAGAGAGAGATTCTTTGTTCGTTTGTTTGTTTTTACAGTGTAATAGCAAAAATGGTTTTGTTGCCAAAGATGATGAGAGATTTCCTTTTTTGCTTTTCTAAGAAAAAGATTTTTGTTTGTTTTGTGGAGTCAAAGGTCCGCAAGCATTGTATTCACTTTCATCTTTATTGCCAAAAATTTCAATGGACCTTTTTTAAAAAAAAAATAGGAATTAATTTAATAAATTAATATTTTAATATATAGTATAAAAAATAATTAAAAGAAGACGAATAAGAAAAAACAACGAAGCATTTTACATTTTTTTAGGAAAAACTTCATTTTCATCTAGAAAGTCTTTTTATATATATATATAATTTTATTTTTTTACATTTAGACCATAAATTTCAATATTTCACAATTTATTTTTTGAATTTCAAGAAATAAAAAAAAATATCACCAAAAGACATGAGAGAAAAGTAATCCGTTAATAATATTATGATTATAAAAAAACTGATTTTAGTATTAATAAATTTATTTTAGTTAGCTGAGAGTTATTTAAACTTTCATGTTATCAGAAAAATATATTATAATCCAAAAAAATTTAATCAACTTAAATTTAAATATTTTAATTTTTTAATAAAAATTTTAAAATTGAAATAAGTTTAAAGAAATTTTTAAAGTATTTCTTTAATGTTTTTATATAAAAATATTAAAAAATATTTTTAAGATCTAACTTTCAACCATATTTATTGCTTGAGACCTTAAATAGTTGCAATGTGAATAATTTGTCATTTATTATGGTTTATTTTTTAAATTCATATTAAAAAAATTAAAAATCCTAACTTTTTTTTATTAAGCCTAGTGTCAGGTTCTTTATATAGCACTTTAATCCTTTAAAAAAAACTTTTTTATTTTAAAATTTAAAAAATAATATTTTTAATTAAAAAATATATTAATAAAGCAATAGAATTTAAATTGAAGATATGCATTTTTTCTACTAATTAAAATTTTTATGAACCTTTATTTTAACTTTCATTGTTTTTTATTTTTAAAATATTTTTTAATAAAAACAATTTATTCAAAAAAAATTATACATGAATAAAAAAAATAATTTATTCAACAAAATATAATTTCTTCATCTAAAATTTAGATCGTTGTGTTACGTACAAATATCTTTTTAAATTGTAAGACAAAATGAAAAGAAATTTTGAAACTAGTTTGCTTAGTCTATTACTATATTATTACTTCTATTTCTATTTCTATTTATTTTTGTTTATATTTCTTACTTATTTATTTTTCTTCGAGCTTGCTTTCAATTAATGTTTTAATTCTATTTCTATCCAATTACTCCCCACGTCAGATTTATTCACATTCATATTTTGGTTAATTACAAACTTTATTGAAAATAATATAATACTTTCATTTCTTTTCTTAGAGGCTTCATTAAATTTAATTAGGTTAAATTTTCATAAATTATAAATTATTTAATTATCTAGTCTTTAACAATAATTAATATAAATCTAATTATCAAATTATTAGTGCACATCTTATGTAACTAATAATTGATTAGTTATATATAATATTAATTTTATTTATGTAAAATATATTTATTATTAATAAAAAAAATTATTTTTAATATACATTTAAAATTAATAGTTTAGAGTAAAGATAAATTTTATAGAATAAAAATATTTTACAAATAAAAAAATAAAAGTAATTATAAATATGAGATTTTTATTACATCAAAGCATTGTTTATAATTATTTTCTAATTGATGCTCTATTAAGTCTAAATAGTAATTAAAGTTGTTGAAACACATACATATTAATTAATATATAAATGTTTATTAGATGACAAGTATATTAAATTAACCCATATAAAATTTATATGGAGAAGTCATATGTGTCTATAAAAATATTCACATAATAATTATATAAGTTATCCTTAAATTTAAGATCATGAAGTTATTTTATATACAAAATATTATGATTTGATCCTAATTATATATTGCCTTAATCAAAGGTAACAACAACAATTAGGTTTTGGGTATAATATTAATTATATAAAGGTATTTATGTTATTAAGAGATTATTCATTATCATAGGTAAATTAGAAAAAAAAAATATTATACATGTTCTTGAATATTATTAGTTATCAAACTCTTGCATAAGATGCAATGAAAATTGAAAAGAATTTCAAATCTTATTCAAATAATCAATAACTGTAATATCAAGAATAAATATTATTTGACAGATTAGACACATTTCATATTTAAATGTTTAAATTAGAATATTATTGATGAAATGATTATAATTATTGAGAAACTACTCGCTCAAAGGTTAAGTCAAACTTTATTTGACTTTCTTAATATTTGAAGGATCATAACATGTTATTAAATTGTGCATTTGATTTTTAAATATAAATCAATTAAGTGTTAAATTAATAATAAATGAAATCATTTAATTTATGTACTTTTCTTTTATTTATGATTATAATTTAAATTTGAGCCAACATATTAGAAACCTAATACGTCATACACATTAAAAAAATCATTAGTTAGAAATAAAAATGAAATGATTAATCAAATGGAACTTAATTGTTTTAAAAATTAAGGATTATAATGTAATTTATATATGAGATTATAATTCTAGACCTAGAAAAATCAAGTAGAAAATTGATTGCATAAATTTTTAAAATCATTATGAAATGATAAATATGATATTATTCAGGGGACAAAGTGATATTTTATCATTTATAGGATTGTTAAGTTTTTTCTATAAATAAAATATTACGTCTCATATTTTTTTAGTAACCTAATACCATAACATTTGATGTTATCAGATATGCCTAAAAACAAAGAAACAAGCCCCTTTTTTCTTTATTTTCTCTAATAAACTTATGCACTTAGCCTTCAAATAAATGTCTAAAGAATACTAATTCCCATGTACATCCTTAGGCATAGTCTAATATCTTGGTGTCACACACACATATACACATATATAGATAGAAATATCATTTTTTTTTCATATATCATATACCCCATATTCATTCAATTAAAAATAATTATTTAGCTAATGAATAATAGATGGTTTAAATATATTTAACATAGAAAGTGTAGAGATCATGTTGATCTATTATGGGTGATCAAATTTATTATAACTTATTTTTTACCCTTTTTGTTTTCAAAATTACATTAAACATCATAAAGTTTATTAATGATTGCACTTTCCTTTCCATATTTGGAAGAAAAAAAACACCTTATACATATTATTGTTAATGTAGCTGATAACAGTTACATATTAAGTTAGGAACACCTAACCCCATTCAACAAAAAAATTTTAAAATATTACATGTTCACTATTATAATTAATTTAATATCTAAAGTGCCTTTATAAGTAAAATATTATAAGTCTACCACCATCTCTATCCTTTCTTTCCTCTCTCTCATTTTTAATGGAAGCAAAATAACTTTCTTTCTCTACAAAAAATGGTATTTATAAAGAAAATTAGGGTTAGATCAAGGTTTTAAAAGAAGAAACCCACCTATTGTTCTAAGTAAAGTTATGGAAAATATAACTCAAATCCATAAATCTTAAAGAAACAACTAAGTATTGAAATCCAATCATTTTATTAGCATTATAAGCATTCACAACTTTATACTTCTTCTAAAATAAAATAGCATTAAAATCACCAACAATTAATAAATGAATATTAGAGGAGCTAAACAAAATATTCCATATGTTTGCTATAACTAAAGCCTTAGATTCTACTTATTTGATTTTTGTCATCTTAAGAACAAGGTATTCTCCTTGTCATTAGATAAGTTTTGATTGATTTTAAATTTTATAGATCATTATTAAAGACTGAAAATTTTAAATTCCTCTATGCTTATGCTTGTAATGTGTTATAATGGTATTAAAGCCTTTTATATTTTTTTTCTTTTGAATTCATAGATATTTGGATCTAATTAGATTTATTTAATAGTTAAATAATTATGTTAATTTTTTGTTTTCAATCATAGAAAAATGTTCTCAAAATTTTTAGAAAATATAAGTTTAATTTACCTATATTACAATCGCAGGTTATGATATGAAAAGTTCAAATAGGTATGCCATTAATGTCAAAAGTTATAATTGAGCTATGATATTAGGCCATACAATTGTTGCATGGACCATGAAATTTAGGCCATTATACAATTATTAAATGATCTAAAGTGTAATGACTTGACTTTTTCAATGCCAAAATCGATGAAAATATTTTTTATTTTATAAATCATTAGGTCTTGGATATTTTTCACCATATCATTTTGCAGATTTATAATTGCATTTCATTCAATATCAAGGCACAATCCATGTAGGATAACATAAATCAACATTCTTATAAAATAGATTCTCAATACACATGCCTATAATATTATATTTTGACATTCATAGGTTTACAATGCATCATATTAACATATTCTTAAATTTACATTTCTTTTCTAGTCTCGTTATCATTATGAGTTCATACAAGAGTGCCAAACGACAAATTACACAACTAGTACTTTCATTATCCTGACCTCATGTAATTTCACAATATAAAATCCTCGTAAGAAAAATACCATATGCATACATTCATACATGTCATGTCTACATGTTCACACATACACATCC